ACTTTAATTGATTCCGCTCAAGTCATTAGGCTTTTTCGGGAAGTCGTCTCGAACTCCCCTTTGACCGCGCGATGATTGTCGCCCTCCCCCCCCGCGTCGTGATCGAGTGTTTTCGCACACTAGTGACGGGCGCCCCCGCAGCTGCCACGTCACATTATATTGCTTAAATAATGAAAAGTTAATAAAATAAGTACTGCCTTTATTTCTTACGTAATAAATGAATAAAATATTGTCTGATTGCACAATATTATCTGAAAATAAAGACAAATGTAAATAATAATATGTTTTGCGAACTGTGAGCGTTCTATTATTTCAAGTATTGCACAATTACATGATAATTACGTAATAGTATCATTAAACTTAAAGAATAATTTACTGATCAAGCATATACCATACATAGGAATATACATATTTGTAACAGGGATTAAAAGTAAAATATTTGAATTAACGTCTTTTAAGAGCTCTCCTTTTATTTTTTATAATAGAAAATACGAAGAACTTATTTAAAATTCAAATTGTGTGATATACTCACGTCACGGTCTACATTTATTAATTATTGCTTATGCACGTTAGTCTTTCAATACATACTTTCCTTACATGTTTTGATTATTGCGAGGAATATTGCTATAGCCTCAATGGTCAAGTTGGTTAAGAAAATAAATCATTGAGGCTATAGCAATATTCCTCGTAATATTCGAAACATGTAAGGAAAGTACGTATTGAAAGGCTAACGTGCATAAGCAATAATAAGTATATGTAGACCGTGATGTAGACATGAGTATATCACACACAATTTGAATTTTAAATAAGTTCTTTGTATTTTCTATTATAAAAAAATAAAAAGAGAGCTCTTAAAAGACGTTAATACAAATATTTTACTTTTAATCACTGTTACAAATATGTATACTCCTATGTATATGCTTGATCAGTAAATTATTCTTTAAGTTTAATGATACTATTTAATTATCACGTAATTATGCAATATTTGGAATAATAAAACGCTCTCAGCTCGCAAAACATTACTAAATATTACTCGCAAAATATTACTATTTACATTTGTCTTTATTTTCAGATAATATTGTGCAATCAGACAATATTTTATTCATTTATTACGTAAGAAATAAAGGCAGTACTGATTTTATTAACTTTTCATTATTTAAGCAATATAAATACGAAAGCAGGTCAAATCCCAGTATTGTTCATAATTGATTTTTATTATTTAAAATTGTCTCAAGCACCGTCTTAAAATGGTGTAAACTAATCACAACAGAACCGTATGAGCGTCTTGAAAGACACTACTTATGATTACTAATCACGGACTAGGTACACGCGAGTGAAATGCGCGCGCCGGCCCTGAGCGCTACATAGACAAGAGCGTTTATTCGTTAAATTTAACATGCTCTCCTGCAAAAACTACTTGTCGGACACAATTTTGCTAAAGGAAAAAGTTGTTTGTTTTAGCATAAAGTATCGTGTTCTGTATTCCGAATGCGGGAATTTCGGATCCTGTATACATAAGTAGGTTATTCTATAATAAAATATTCACCGCAATAACTTTTTAGGAAAGCATTTTTCAAAAAAGTATTTTAGATAAAAGTTGTGAGGTTCAAAGACAGACATCAGACGGTAACCTTGAACTTGACCTTGAGGTTGATTTTCACTTTGAAATATTAATTTTCAAAATGAAAATCAACCTCAAGGTCAAGTTCAAGGTCACCATCTGATGCCTCTTCTTGAACCTTACAACTTTTATCTGGAACATTTTTTTGAAAAATGCTTTCCTGAAGAGTTATTGCGGTGGATATTTTATTAAAGGGTACACTACCTATGTATATACACATGCAGGGTGCACGATTTATCTGAAGACATTGAAATATCTCGAGAACTATGCATTGGATAAAAGAAAGTGGTTAATGAAAGTTATTAGTCTCGAAGGGGGACATCCAATGATACCAAACTCGACCTCCTACCCCACCCCCTGGGGGTGGGGGTTAGGGGCAACTTTGAAATCTTAAATGGAAACCTCCATTTTTTATTGCAGATACGGATTCTACGCCACAAAATACGTAAATTTTATCCGAAACTTTTTTTTTGATTCGTGATAGATGGCGCTGTAATCGCAAAAAATTATATTTTCCGCAATTCTCCAGAAATGATCATTGGAATGAGAAATAAAAAATACCTGTTCAATATTTTTAAATCAACAAGTGCCAACAACTCGTGAAAACATGGTAGAACGCATAAGAAACGCTTGCGCTGAAACTCCCGCAGATATGCTTTTATCCTGTGTACAGTCATTTGAAAAAAGGATCAATAAGTGTATTGAAGTTGAAGGTAAAAATTTCGAACACTTACTCTATAATTAATTGAACAGTGAGAGGCAAGGGGACTCACATTAAAAAAGCACCCGAAGGGAACATAAAACTACTACGTCCTCGTCGTTGTTCCTGTGTAACGCTAAAAGTAGTTTCTCGGAAAAATTCAACGCTATCTATCACGAATGAAAAAAATTGTTTCAATAAAAATTTCACGTACAATCTAATTCTGCAATGAAAAATGTGGGTCCCCATTTGAGATTTGAACGTTATCACCCACCCTATCCCGAGAGAATGGGGGGGGGGAATAACTTTTATTATGTTCTTTAAAAATATTGAACAGATATTTTTTATTTCTCAATCCAATGATCATTTCTGGAGAATTGCGGAAAATATAATTTTTTGCGATTACAGCGCCATCTATCACGAATTAAAACAAAAGTTTCGGACAAAATTTACGTATTTTGTGGCGTAGAATCCGTATCTGCAATAAAAAATGGGGGTTTCCATTTAAGATTTCAAAGTTGCCCCCAACCCCCACCTCCAGGGGGTGGGGTGGGAGGTCGAGTTTGGTATCATTGGATGTCCCCCTTCGAGACTAACAACTTTCATTGACCACTTTTTTTTATCCAATGCATAGTTCTCGAGATATTTCAATGTCTTCAGATAAATCGTGCACCCTGTATATATAGATATATATTATGAAACTGTACTTTTTTCTCTATCTATCATATGATATGTATATACACATGTATATATAGATATATATTATGAAACTATACTTTTTTCATATACAGGGTGCACGATTTATCTGAAGACATTGAAATATCTCGAGAACTATGCATTGGATAAAAAAAAGTGGTTAATGCAAGTTGTTAGTCTCGAAGGGGGACATCCAATGATACCAAACTCGACCTTCCACCCCACCCCCTGGGGGTGGAGGTTGGGGGCAACTTTGAAATCTTAAACAGAAACCCCCTTTTTTTATTGCAGATACGGATTCTACGCCACAAAATACGTAAATTTTGTCCGAAACTTTTTTTTTGATTCGTGATAGATGGCGCTGTAATCGCAAAAAATTATATTTTCCGCAATTCTCCAGAAATGATCATTGGATTGAGAAATAAAAAATACCTGTTCAATATTTTTAAAGAACATAATAAAAGTTATTCCCCCCCATCCTCTCGGGGTAGGGTGAGTGGTAACGTTCAAATCTCAAATGGGGATCCACATTTTTCATTGCAGAATTAGATTGTACGTGAAATTTTTATTGAAACAATTTTTTTCATTGAAACAATTTTTTATAATAAGCCGTAGTTCGCCATACACCCACAGTGGCGCGTCGAGCAGTTCCCTCTTCGATTCGGGTTCCCATTTGAGATTTGAACGTTACCACCCACTCTACCTCGAGAGGAGGGGGGAATAACTTTTATTATGTTCTTTAAAAATATTGAACAGGTATTTTTTATTTCTCAATCCAATTTCTGGAGAATTGCGAAAAATATAATTTTTTGCGATTACAGCGCCATCTATCACGAATCAAAAAAAGAGTTTCGGACAAAATTTACGTATTTTGTGGCGTAGAATCCGTATCTGCAATAAAAAAAGGGGGTTTCCGTTTAAGATTTCAAAGTTGCCCCCAACCCCCACCTCCAGGGGGTGGGGTGGAAGGTCGAGTTTGGTATCATTGGATGTCCCCCTTCGAGACTAACAACTTTCATTAACCACTTTTTTTTATCCAATGCATAGTTCTCGAGATATTTCAATGTCTTCAGATAAATCGTACACCCTATATACATTATACACGTACATATAAATGTGCTAAAGTTTGAAAAGTCTACTATATCTTTATCTCCGACTTGAAATGGATATACTTTCTACTTAAGTCTGCTGAAACCTGTTTTTCAACCCTCCTTTTACCCCACCCTGACTCCCCATTTCTTAATCTTGAGAAGGGGACTCAACTTGAAATTTTTCTAGGAGTAATATTTCATCATAAACTTTCACTTAACATATAATTTGGCTTCAAATTCAAGGTCTAGAAAACAGGCGATTTTTTGCCTATTTTTGGGGTCATTTTTTCTTAATTGAAAGTTATATTTGAGTTTTTCTATTAAATCGTACGATAACCTAAAATCGCATATTTGTAAATGCGATTTAATCGAGAAAAGTCATATTTAACTTAAAATTCAAATTTAAATTATTCAAATGAGACGATTTTGAAGTAACGGCTATCAATACACTCTATGTTGGATTAATTTGTGATTGTTGTCTACGCGTGGTCACTGATGCCTTATGATGTTGTATTATAAATCGCATTTTTTATTTGTCAAGTAACGTGACTTATAATAATTATAAGAGTATCTTACATACACGTGGCATGAAACATGCGTCTTACGTACAAGTATCTTACGTATACGTGGCCAAAACGAACATGTATTAACATTTCCTAAACGAATGCAACACATTGCATAAATTGCGTTATAGCCGATCAAAGGATGGTAATTCTTCGAAAAATTGAGATTTGCTGATTTCATTGAAAATTATAAATCGTCTAAACTGGCCTCACAAAAAATTCTTTCGATCTTTGTATCGTTCAGTCGATCTCTTCCGTCTGTATCTATTAAAATAAAAGCCTAAAAGTAAGCTGCACTAAAATAAAATAACTGACTGACAATTTTTTAGGAGGAGAAGAAAAGCTTGAAGGAGCGTTTGCAAGCGATTCAAGAGGTTACGCAGACCGTTCAAAATTCAATCGGCTACATAGCCAGTCTGTGCGAGAAGGTGAAGAATCTCTTCAACTTCACGATTCCATATTTAAGTTACCTAGCGATGATCCTGGCGATCATCGGCGCGGTTGTGCTCTATTTCATTCCTGTCCGATATTTAATCCTCGCCTGGGGCGTCAATAAGTTCTCTAGGAAAATCCTCAGGCCTCATTCCGTGCCCAACAACGAGCTCCTCGATCTTATATCTAGAGTGCCTGACGACGAGGAGCTGCTTAATTATAGGTAAGTGATCAATATACAATAATCAGTATGTTCCATACGCGTGTGTGAATGTGTCACGTGTCTCTATCTTTAACAGAATTAATTGAATTCTTTCGCTTATAGATGTAAAATATCCGCACGAATGTTGCGGGAGACTCGAGTGTAGCATGCTTCAGGCAAAATAAAAACTGTAGTTTTTATTTTATCATATTAAGGAGTGCTTCTCATCTGTGAAACATGTGATTTCATACACCGATATCTACGTATCTGGGAAACTAACATAGAGTACAAAGCAAAAATGATCATTTTTCAAATAACTATAATTGTTAATAATAATTTATTAACATTAATTTATTAATAATAAGTTAATAATAATAATTTCAAATAACTGTAATAATTAATAATTAACAAACTCTTTATAAGTCATAGAAATCTAGAATAAATCGACTGAGAAAATTCCTGAGAAAAGATCAAACAGAAAGTTGTCGATTAAACTTCCTACATTTTGAAATAAGGATGAAAATGAATGAGATATATTTGTTAGTGAGAAGGAAATAATTGTTTAATCGGTCGGTATTACAACATTCGCGAGACGTGGTGCCAAAATATGCACGAAATAAGTCTGCACCAATATTTTCTGAAAAAAGAAGAAACTGACTTTGCTCTTATGCTTTTCCTTTGCTTCCTAGGTTCCACATATATTCATATACAATTTATTGAATCCACTAACACAGGAGAAGTATTTCGTATCTTCGATAAAGCAGCTGTGAGCTTTCACATCAATCTGGAGAAACTGCTTCGTACCATCTTCACAACGTAGTCGACATCGTAGTCGATCCTCGCATTTCTTGATTTTGTGAAAAAGCACAAAAGGTTCCTTTTTTTAACCTTTATCCTTTTCCAGAGAACTGAAGCCCGTGCCGACGGCAGATTGCGAGAAAGGCGGTACCTCAGGAAGTCCTGGCACGAACACAACGCGGAGAGAGCAAAGAAAAAGGCACAAAGTAGCGTAGCAGAATCTCCCGCGGCCGGAAGTCGCGGGTCCACGGTCGTACAGTTTCCTTAAAACAGTCCTGCGTCGGAAGCTCCGTCAGCGAAAAGGATCAGTGGAGAATGCGGATGTGATCGACATAGACTGAATATATTTCATTTCATATCCCTCCCCCTCTCCCAATGCATCGTGAAAATTTTGAATCTAATATTGGACATTAACGAAGTTAAGTAAAGTTTCCTTCTCGAGAGAAGAAACGATATGAAAAAAATATATTATTGATTGACAAAATGTCCGAAATGCTGCAAGAAAAATGCAGGCGGATTCGTCAATAAAAATAAGATAATTTTTTAATCGCGATAGAATTGAAGTATATGAAATGGAACGTGTCGCAAAAATGTCTGAAAAACGATGACATTCGTGTCTTGATTAGATAGAAGAAGTATGCATCGAATGAAAAATTATATATCGAATATTGAATTATTCCGTCGTAAATGTACAATAATGAACATTTCATACATCTCTAATTGCTCCGAATTGCTGTGCTACTAACGATATGTATAAAAGTACAATCAGTGAAGAAGTTTGCACAATTTTTCAATCCCTTCACCCTGTCTTTAATCATTATCAAATCTCTAATCATTTTTTATACATTATTCGTATTTCTGTGAGAACCGTAATACCTAGTTTTCATAGCGGGAACGTTAAAAATGTAAATCTAACAGTTCAAGGATACAAATATATTTTAAAGAATTACAAATTCAAGAATATCAAGAGCATACAGGTGCTAAGAAAATTGAGTAATGAAAGCAATAGTATATAGTGTAAAATTACGAAAATAAAAAAAGTTTTACTGCGAGTAGAAAAGTGACAAATAAACAAAGATTTTTGAGAATAATTTAAATACTACAATTATTAAAATATCATGAATTTTTTCACACAACTTTTCCATGTGATTCTTTATATTTGTCTCAGAAATTTTTACTATTCTCTACTGTTAGAAACTTTAATATTTCTCTATAATGTTCTATAATACCCATTACTTCTAGAAATATCTCTTCCTATAGAGGAGAAAATGACATTTTAAAAAAAGATTGTCAGTTTTTTTCCGAATTTAATGATATTCGATTCGCACAAGAGGCTGCTACTTCTTCTTTAGTTGTACGAGTTAGACACGAAATTTAATTGCTTTTTTAAGATAGTCTAATCCTGCAAGAGAGAGAGAGAAAGAGAGAGAGAGAGAGAAAAGAGTTGATTAATTTTGAAAGTATCTCGTGTTAAAAAAGAGTACTGCGTTTCGAGCATATCAAAGACGGCAAAGAACGTGTGTTCTTATAGATTATATTAGTTAATAAACTCTGATAGTAACGGAGATAGGAATTTAAAAAAATGCGATGACGCTTCTCCTAGGAGAACGGTTATCGGTCGTTTCGTCCATCGGTGTTGTTAGCGAGTTGTTAAATATTATTGAAACAGAAAGGTTTAACAGCAAGTTAGATATTTTCTGGGATACAATCGAGCTCCAGGGATGCCGTGGAAAATGATGCGCGATTGGATTTTGCGAAATTACATTAGATTTGAATTTTAAGTTAATTCCAATGTTCCACCGTGCTTCGCTTGTAGATACTGAAATACTGCTCGTGAAGTTTCTGCCAAAATTATTTTTTCAAAATAATTATAGAAGTTGATTTATGAGATCATAATGTAATATGCAGTAATGTCCGATACATTTCAGATGAAATAATTGACGATTTAAAGGCCAATCTGTGTAAAAACAAAGGTCCGAAAATTTGTAGAAAAGGAAAAGAATTTTTATTAAGTTGAAAAAAAACTTCCACTTTTGTCCGCTTTGTCTTCGTGTTCAAACGCAACGATAACAATAATCAACGATATGATTATCTTTTAATACTAATTTCCTTTTTATAATTTTTCCATAATAAGCGGTATTTTCGCGAGGATGCCAAGCAGCTATTTTGCATTGATAAGGAATATGCGGTGGAACTTTTGCGTCAATTCAATATATTCGCGCATGCGGTTATACAAGGTGGTATATACACAACATGTATCGCAAGCGATTGTTCCTTTTTTGAAGAGTTTGACATTATTTAAAGTCTTCGTTCCAACGCACAGTTTTACGTGTTGATCGCGGCAAAAGAAACGTGCAATTATTTTGTATAAGTATTTTTACGTCATTGTTGCCGTCGGGAAAATAGATTGCGCTGCGATGAAAAGAGAAAGAGGAATAAGAGATAAGAAAGGTTGCCTTTTCGACTGGAAATCGTCCAGATCGCAACGCATGCATTTTTACACAACGACATTTCGCGCTTCGTTCTGCGATTAAATAATATCGAAAAAGTACGGAGTGTCCCGAAAGTGTCCAACTACTGACCAATTACCGACGTTTTTCATAAATTGTACCGTAATAGGGGAGAACAATATATAAATATAATGTCGATTACAAATACTTTGCCTTTTACAATTACCGTTTAAGGTTTTACATTGTATTGTTATTTCACTATGGTTGTTTCATATTATATTATAAGCCATTGTATCGTACGACGTCGAACAACATTCACTTGCTCGCTCATATCTCATTAAATTTTTCCGCCAATGTACAACTTTCAATGCAAATAACTTCAAAGCACTGTATATATATTTACCTGGATTTTTTTTATAAGTATGATCAATAGAATGTTGATGAAATGAATATAGGAGGCAAACTATGGTTGGGCATTTTAGAGTCACTCTGTACGGCAATAAACTAACTTTCTTAACTTCGCGTGTGGAACGAGTTCGACGGACACCGCTGGTGTTATACCAACGGTGATTCTATCATTGCCTTCTCAATGCGGTTGTGTAATCGACCCGAGTGTCGTGACATTTTCTGTTCAGTATGCGTGTGCACGCGTACATATATTCACGCTCCTTTCTTTATATTAATTTAACTTTACATCACCCGGTTGTCAAATGACTGAAAAGATCTATCAAGCTGTCTCAGATACACGGCACAATTGAAAATGTTGGTCGTTAGTTGTATGGTACAGTCAGTACAATCAGTGGCGTGAAGACTCGCAGCATTGTTGCTTACAATCAACTCCGAAATGCATCCGATATCCAACAGCAAAATTTACCTTCTGAGAATTATGAAAAAAAAAATGTATTAGATATATATATCTCACGAAACTCATGAAAAAAATTTTACAACTGTTTTGCCACTGACTGTAGTTACGTACTTTATTTTACTTTTTATATGACCGCTAAATTCATTGATAAAGAAATCTTTCTTTATCAACGATAAAGAAATTCTTCTTTCGTATCTTAAATAATTCTTCCCAAAATAAAAGGCGTACGATAAGGAATTGCGATAAATGTTCGGAATACACATTTCAGCGCTTCGAGCACACTGAGAATTACTCGATTATCATCGTTCGAAGCCGAAGAGTTCAAAAATTTTCTAGAGTGGAACGTACGACCATTTAGCGTGACCATATGCTCGTGATAACATCTAATGTGTTAATGTATGAAATGCATATGAGTACGAGGCGGAATTTTTCCGTGAAGTTAATTTTAACTGCGGTGATCGCAGCGCAGATGCGGTCGCAATTTCGTTGTGCAAATGCATTCAACCCGAAGATAACAAAAAGCATATATATATAAATATTAATTCCTAGCCGCGATTTTACAGATTTTGTGCCGCGAGTGTGTGATGTGTGCGTGCGCGTACGCGTGCGCGCGTGAGAGAGAGAGAGAGAGAGGGAGAGAGTAGGAGGAAGATAGCAACAGAGAAACGCTGATCCATTTTTCGCTTTTTTAATTATTATATATTGTACTCGTTGCATGCCACGTTGCGCACTTCGTCTTTTTCGAGTCTTTTACCAGCCACTCACCTCGGATTTTTCCATTCCTATTCTATGATATAATACGCGCCTCGATGATCTTTCCGGCACGACACTGAGGAATCCTGTCCCGTTATGGAGCACTACTCGGGGCATATCTACATAAACATGTAAACGCACACAAACTACATACATATATGCAGGATGTTCCGAAACTATCGTAATTATCGACTTAGTTGTAGCTCCCTAATAGTTAATTTGCAAAAAATTTGCAAAAAAAATTGTGAAATAGAAATCGGAGAGGACAATGTGCTTTCTAGAAACAAACTCTAGGCTCAGCGGCGAGAAATACGACAAAATTGTGTAGTATCTTGCAAAGAGGTCATTTTCGTGAAGATAGAGGACTCTTCTGTAAAAAGCGTATTGTTGACATGGTATTCGGTGGTTATAGGACACTCTGAGCGCATACACCGCGTTATTTCTTTCATTGTAAAAGGCCTAAGGGACGAGCTGAGAGCAGAGTACACACACTACACACGCATCGTAACGAATGCTTCGCATTATCTAGTCAACGAACTTATTATTTAGCGTACTTTTTAGACGACATTCGCAATCCTCATAACCGTTCTCCACCTACTCTCTTCTTCTTCCCGACTTTCTGCGTTACTAGGGCTTTCGGATCTGCTTTAGGACGATGTTATGTACCCGCTACGCGCGACTTGTGCGAGTATATCGATATCCGCGATGAACAATCGACAATAGATGCAACCAGTGTATTTTCGCGAGTAAGCTTCTCACTTCCGTTTTATCCGTGTATATTCTATTCGAACTAATTATTTTATTTAGCTTTACACACACACACACACACAGACACAGACAGCACACAATACATGCAGACATACATGTAAGGCATCCACGCACATACTCGCACGTTCGTGTTTGCATGCTCCAAGTTTCTTCGTGTGTTATTTGAATCTTCATCCGTGTGTTTAGCCGTTAAGGGGAAAATTAACGAGTAATCGCGGACACTTATGAAGGCTACGTCCGCCTTTTTCCGAAAACTACCACCGGAATCACCCGGCCGTATTTAGATCGTTTAGATCATTCAGTCGAGACGCGCTCCGCATACGTTTGTCTACTTCTCAATCTGATGAACGAAAGAGAGAGAGAGAGAGAGAGAGAGAGAGAGAGAGAGAGAAAGAGAGAGAGAGAGAAACTTAAAGAATTTATATATATCAATAGAGAACGCAAATGTGATTCGATTGATCGTCGATTGTCGATCTTTTGAGGGAAGCCAGGGGGCGAAGGATTGTGCTTGAGTGATCCGGAACTGATCGATCGAGGCTCGCTGAAGATCCGTGCGCTCGCCACGTGTTTGGAATTTAGCGCGAACCCGGAAAAAGCATAGCGCGCGAGAAAACACGGATGCTGATCTCGATCGAGCTTGTTTCGGCGATACCCACGCGAAATCTCGTCGTTCTCGATGTTCCGAGACGAGATGTACTTACGACAAAGCGTGATAAGAATCGTTATTATATTTATATTATATTATAACGTGAAAAGGAATAAACTTGAAAAATAAATAATGCTTTTAATATCCAAGCAGATAGCTTTCTTGTTTGTTTCAGCCTCCTTTATTCCCAGCCTCTCTCCTTTTCAGCCCCGTTATTTATTCTTCTTCATATTTCCTTATCACACTTTATAGCGTTCATCTTATCATTCCTATTCTTATGATTTTTCTTAT